TCCTGATATATACAAAGAGGGAACAATGGGTGTGTGTGTGTGTGTGTGTGTGCGTGCGTGCGTGCGTGCGTGCGTGCGTGCGTGCGTGCGTGCGTGCGTGCGTGCGTGCGTGCGTGCGTGCGTGCGTGCGTGCGTGCGTGCGTGCGTGCGTGCGCGCGTGCGTGCGTGCGTGCGTGCGTGCGTGCGTGCGTGCGTGCGTGCGTGCGTGCATGCGGGCGGGCGGGCGGGCGGGCGTGCGTGGGTGTGTGTGTGTGTGTGTGTGTGTGTGTGTGTGTGTTTGTTTTTCGCGGTCATGAATTTAAGGTGGGCATAGTTCATATTTACAACACGCAGGCAAATTTATCGCAGGGCACGTGGACAGAGCAAGCAAACTTGTTCCAAAAACCCAGGCAGAAATGGCCACATAATTCAAGCAGTATACGAGAAAAAAGCAGCGAAAAGGACCAGAGAGTCACAAACTCGCAGGCGAAGAATGATAGACAAAGATGTTGTCAATTGTTGGACAAAGCAGTCACGCTCAGCGACAAAGACCAATACAGGAAACGCAGAGCGAGAGCTCCAGAAAGATAGGAGAGCGAGAGAGCGAAAGAGATAGAAAGAGAGTCGGGTCAACAGGAAGTTGACAACGCCAGAGGCCAGGAGGCAGGCAAACACAGAGAAATACGGGCTGTCAGTTACGAAGGCTTGCAAGGCGCACACTCGTGGCTTGTCCTTGATGTTGCCTGTGTTTTTCGCAACACACACTTAAGTAATCTGTGCAGTAGATTGAAACGCCATGTACATGGACCGGCGCCGCACCTGAAATGCGTCTAATCCGTACCTGATGAGTACGAAAATCTTGTCATGGAAAATTGTATTTTGACAGATACGAAGTCTGTCTAATGTAGTTGTGTCGTTAATGATCATGCAGCAACAGCTTCCTCATTGCGCAGTATTGAAACGGGCAAAGATGGCTTTTGAACAGCATTGTATTTTGAGATAGGCAACAGTTTTCAAGTATAATTCAAGGACGAGGCTTCGGTAATTCAGACGGGCATCCTGCTCAACCCCTATGTTCGGGTTCTTTCCAAAAACAGAAGACTTACCTAAAGACAACATCGGTCCAGAATAAGTATGAGTTCTTAAATGAGCCAGAAAGATCCGAAGCTCAATCCATCGCCGCCCTTGCCACATCCCCTGCGACAGATGTTGCCCGCATGCCCACGCACAGTCGCATATTTGTTGGGAGGGACTCGCGCGTAGCAACCTCGGCAAGAAAGGGGGCGCAGGGCAAGGATGTCGACAGATTGTAAAATCATCAAACAACGCAAGGCAACCTGTGCTGGCGAGCCGCCGCACGGCGGGCGCGAAGTGATTCCTTCTCTCCTGGTGGATTTTGTGCTTTCCTTTGAATGCGATTGCTGCATGTCAACGACGTCAAACTTGCTTGATCTCGATGATGTGGCAGTCTTTCAAAGTCGTGGATCCGTTTTACTTTAGAGGTGGCGTACGCGAGGCACTCAAGAGTGAGAAGGTGCTCTAACACTACAGCTTTGGCTTGCCGGAAGACGTCGGAATCCCCCAGACTTGGACGGAGGAATTCACAGCGCTGCACATACATGATGAAAAAGCCAACGCAACCCCGTTCAGGCCGCGGGCCCCGTCAAACACAGCTCAAGATTGAGAACATTTGGATACTGGACATGAACCCAGATATCTGCCAGATTCTGGAAGAGAATGGGCACCAACAGCCATCACCAAAACTCGTACGAGTACATGACAAGCAGTAGAGACTGCAAGATCCTAGAGGAGCTCTAACACCCCCATGATCCGCCCATGTCGACAAGCGGCATCCAAGCAGAGCCCACGCCCACCGGCGCTGCGCAGCAGGAAATGGACCTTGTCCTCCCCAAAGCGGGTTGGAGTTTAGGGCTCGCAGGTTTCTACGGTCGAGGGACGGTTATCCCACGTCGTCCCCGCCCCTGCGGGCAGATGGCAGGGTCGGGGTTCTGCACGTCGGCTTTCGACCCTGGACCCTCCCTAGTCCTCATCCCTGCTCGCCACGGCCGCCAGCAGAGCCACCTGCAAGCCACCGGCGGCAATGACCGGGACAAGTTCAACAAGAGATGCTGTTGTCGGGCGGTTGTTAAGTTGCCCGGCGCTGTTAGCTTGTTAGCTTGTTTTCAGGTTGCTGCTGCTCGCGTGTCGTTCGTCTTCTTGGATTGGAGAATGGGTGGGACCGCCTCCTTCATGTTTTCCAAACCCTTGTGTTGGCCCAGGAAAAACGAGAGATTAGGGGGCGGACCTAAACAGGTTTGCCGGCAGCGCGGGGAGGCGCGAGGGAGGGTAAGGGAGGGGAGGTGGAAAAGCAGGGACCTTGCTAACAGGTTCATTGGCAAAAACTCACGCAACTGAGCTTGGGCTTGTCAAGCCGACACATCGCCTCTGATGCAGCCTTTGCGATGTCGCTCCCGGGCATGAACCCAGCCCCAATTTGCCCCCACTTGCCCCAACTCCCCCTAGGCAAAACCTCAAGCAATCACACGGAGGGTGAGGGGGGGCGGCGGGGGGACGGGGGGGAGGGAAGGGGCGTTGTCCACTAGCCCAACAACCCAAAGCTACCGGGTTAACCCACGAAACCCTGAACCCATGAGCTCAGTCAGAGGGCCACAGCGCTTGGGTTGACGGGTTCACGGCTCCTCCCGAGCGCTCTATGCTCAGGAGTTCAGGCCACAAGTTTATGGCAGCTTGCTTTCGAATTTTCAATTTCAGACATGCTCTACAAAAGCACGGGCACGGGCAGGGGGGGGCAGACGATTTTACCCGGTCTGACTGCCCCAAGCACAGCAAATCCAGGCAACGCCAGAGATTGCAGCGCCATGCAGCGCCCACATGCGCTCAAGATGCCTGGAGCACGGACTCCTCCGTCCAGGCTGGCCTGGGCGCGCCGCGCTGGGCCTCAGGTTTGCTCGGCAACATCCACAACATGAGCAGCGGCGTAAACCCCTTGAACCGTTTATGCGCTGACGTGCGCGTATCCTGCGTAAATTGCACTGAACCTTAGAGTCAAAGACCTCAAATAGCCTGAACCCTAAACATTGAGCGCGAGATCCCTCAGCGCATTTGGCCAGTAATTTGCGGGCACATGTGGGCAATATTGGGCCGAAGATAAGGAGGAGCTGGAAGAGGATGAGGAGCTTGAAGTGCTTGCAACTTAATTAAGTTACTTACGTTGTTTGTTCCCTACTGCCGTACGAAGGGACTGGCCTTTGCTGAACAAGCCTCCAGAAAGGAGGGCCGGCCCTTGATGCGGGGACGAAGGCGATGACGGCGCTGCGGCGCTGCAATTTGCGGGTCAAGCTGCGATTTCTTCTACAAAGAGCCACCAATGTTCAGCGTTGCTCTGGCAAACGCGGCGCATGTGTTGAATAGAGGCTGGGTAACCAATAAGCTACCTGTCGCTGACGCGCGGAGCTCGCGAAGATGACGCGGATTTCGCGGATGGTCTTCTGGGCAGGCTGCGGGCCGAAAACGCCCGGACAAGGACCAAGGACCCACACGCAACGACGATTTCCAAGGACGGCGAAACCTACGAAAACGGAGCGCTTTTTTCCGCTCTAAACGGTGGGATGTTAACCTGTTTCGGTCCGCTTCTTCCCTAAAATACCCTAAACCGGAAACCCTAAACACTATAGACCCTAGATCCAAGGATGTTCATTGTTTTGTGAAAGTTTTTGGTCTTGTGCGCTTGTCTGCAGGAGCGAAACCCGCCAGACTTGGCTATATGAAGCCCTTGGTTTTTGCGGACATTAACTTCATGTGATGAACATCAGACTTTCTTAAGCGACCTTTGTCTTGAACTGACTGGAAGAAATGCGGTAGCAAGCAATCTGCATTTTTCAACAGCATATGTAGAGATAAGTGACAACTCTGAGGCTTTTGCGCCCCTACAACAACAAAACGACCACATCTAGCAGAACAACAAGCGGAAGCATAGGTGCATGGCCGGCTCTGTTGTGCGTTGTGGTTATTCTACATGTATGTCGGATTGCTATACTTTTCGTTGGCAAAAGCCAGTGTAAACGACCTGGAAAGGAGCTGAAACGCACCTAGAACGCACCTGGCATATTTCTTAGAAACGCTTGACAAAAATGATGATCCTTGGACTGGAATTATACATATATATATATATATATAGAATACATCAAGCTTAATGCTTGCTTCCTTATATATATATATATATGGGTCACCGCCTATAGCGGTTCCCCTGTGTTTTTTTTTGTAATCCCTTTGAAACAAACCCGGTCTCTCTAGGAGAGGTGAAGGAAGCAGGTTCAATGCATGAGGTCTGGAGATGACAGAAGGCTTGCTCTTTTCGATTCTTGTTTGTTGCCTTTGCAACGGTACACAAAGTTCAGCGCGGGGCTGGAATTCGCTTGGCCCAAGGAGGCAGGACAAGGCTCTATTTAGAAAAGATGTGTAAAAAAGAAATACAGCAGCTTCAGTGAGTCTGGCGTGTTGCGGGTTTACATGGATTTTCGCGTGTCTCTGACCTGCAATGCGACGGAGACGCACCTAGTCTGCACCTGATGATCCTGGAGGCATCTGTTCGCAGAGATATGAGTATTGCAGAAGAAACATTTGTTTTTGTTGGAAGAAGAATTTCCTACCCTCTAGTCATGTGAATAGCAAAGATGTGTCTTGTATATAGACTGAGATCGAAAGTAACAAGACAGCTTTGAATTATAGACTTTTACAGCTTAACCATTCACGAGTAAGAATAATCTAGTCCGTCGTGTATGTGTCTCGCCACAGCCCGCCTGAAGGGCTTTATTTCAAACATGTCCACTCAACCATCCCCCCTTCACTTACAGCTACCTTTTCTGCATTTCTTCGCTATCGAACGCTCTATTTTTCTTGACACTTTTAACGTAAGCAAAAACCTTGAAACATGCCTCAATATAGCACGCCACCCCGCTATCGACT